CGGTCATTGGCGCTCTCGTTTCAAGTTCCGTTTTGTTCGTTTGTTTCCGTTTTGTCTTGCGTTTTCCTGGTCGGGTGTTCCCGCGCTAGTCCTACTGCGGGCACAACCACGATCCCCGGGGGGCCGTTTCAAGAGCTCAGGCTCACGTCCTCCCGCTCGAAGTTGTCGACGAGAGGTATGCTGACATCCGTAAATGGACAGCGGCTGGCGTCGCTCCGACGGACATCTTCAAACTGCTCGAAATGGATCACGACGGCAAGATCTTGGACAAAGTTTGGAAAAGGAAGGTGAGTAACTCAGCACGAGTTTTCTTCGCGGGCGCTGTTTGTGGTGGTTGGTCTAGCATTTATCCGGTAATTATTGGAAAAGGAGAGGAGGGCGACTTTGTCGAAAGTCGAAGCTGCGCTGGCCAATGATGGCAACCCACGTCCTGATGGCGGGGAGGACCCTTTTCCAAAGTGTGTCGTCTCCCTCCAATTTCCGACTCCTTTCAAGGTGTACAACGCCATCCACAAGGTTCAAGACGAGTTGTACTCCACGCCCGAGGACGGCGCCGATTTCCTGGCGAAGTTGGGAGCAGAACCGGGGATGTTCGTCAAGCGCACTTTCGACGATCTGGGGAGGATCGTGAATGTGTTCTGGGCCACCGTGGACCAACAGGAGAAGATGTCGAGGTTCGGCGGCTGTGTCCAGATGGATACAACCGTGTTTACGAATAGGTACGTCTGGGATAATGTCACCGTTCCAGAACGCTCCGTCCCGTCCTAGCCAGCTTCTTTGCTTCGGTATCCCCTTCCCCCCTCCTCCATTTTCGTTTCTTACTGACCATTGTTGTAGTATTTCGGGTCTTCAACTTTAGGTGTGCAGTGCGGCAGGTTGAACATCTCGTTCGGAGGGTGGTGGGGACACACTCTCTTCCGACCCCTGTATCAAGGAGGTCCTTCGCGTGATCCGGTCTATGCCGTGTTCACAACCTATTCAACTGCGGACTACCTGCCGACCTTCGCGGATGCAGCCGGTTTGGTGCAACAAGTGGGCATGAGTGGATTGCCAACTCTGAACCACTTCGTGGCGATGTCCCCTGACAGGGCAGTAGACATGAACGCCCTCGCCGTGCAGCGGTTCGAGGACAGGCTACGGAGCGCGACGGACACCTACCGGGGGGCTGTTTCTGTGCTCAACGTAGCAACGCAGAAACCGGACCAGGAGGATGCTCTCCTCCGTGACATGAATGCCGAGGTGAAGAAGGTAAGAACGCGAACGTTACATTGCGGTTGGTCGTTGGCAAGAATGAAAGGAGGTTGAGCGGTTCGGGTAATGTAATGTTTCATTGTGCCATACCCTGAGCGTACCCTACCAGTGGCCCGAAGCGATGGGGAAACGAAGGCGGTGGTATAGTGTTGTTGCCTGCACTAACATATGCAAGTACCTGATGTCGGACATGGAACGCACGCTGGCTTTGTTATCCCGTTATCTTTCTCCAGACGAAGTACAGTGCTCACTAATTCATGGGGGTCGTCCATGTCCATATTCGGTGCCGTTTCGTCGTGATCATTCATTTTTCACGCCATCCGGCGCAACCCTACAGGCTCGCAGGGACCTGATATTGCGCGAGCGTGACTACAACCTCGTCAGAGGCACCTACTTTGTGAGTAGCCACCGTAGGCACCCGCCTCATCTNTGATGTCGGACATGGAACGCACGCTGGCTTTGTTATCCCGTTATCTTTCTCCAGACGAAGTACAGTGCTCACTAATTCATGGGGGTCGTCCATGTCCATATTCGGTGCCGTTTCGTCGTGATCATTCATTTTTCACGCCATCCGGCGCAACCCTACAGGCTCGCGAGGACCTGATATTGCGCGAGCGTGACTACAACCTCGTCAGAGGCGCCTACTTTGTGAGTAGCCACCGTAGGCACCCGCCTCATCCCGAGACCTTGTCGGCAGGGTATTCAACTATGCAATGGGAAGGTCAGAGTGTGGAAGTGTGGAAGTTGAGCTTCGCCTAATATTTCTTGTATTATTTTTTTACTTTTACCCGGCGGATTTTGCCGGCTTGTCTAGGTCATCGAGTCGATGCTGTGCTAGACTAGTACCATGCACGGATGCGCGGACGCCGAAGGATGCACGTTCATGTTGTGAATGTCGCGGCTTTGGTGGTGGTAATGCTTGCAGGTGCCGCTAGCATCGTCGAAGGCGGCAGCTGAGGCCGAACAGGAAGCCCGCGCCAAATGCAGAGTGAGACGAAAGCGTTGACGGCCTTCAGAGCCATGAGCAGTACGCATTATTACCGTTTTTTGTCTTCCTTCGAAGCCGCGGGGACTCGCTAAATTCCAACCACAATGAGAACGGAATGAGATTCGGAAGATACGAATGTAAACCTTGTTATAAAATAGCGAGTCCTTTGTGCATCGCGTGTTCGGCTCTCTTCGCTTGTGGTCTAACTTAATGTCAGGAGAAAGAGACTGCCGAAAGAGCACGAAGGCAAAAGGTTGCTCAGGCACATGCATCCGCTCGGTCACGGCAACGACAGGAGGGGTTGGGTGACGGGGAGAGGGGTGGAAGGGCGGGGGATTCTCGCGACAAAGGGCGCAGCGGGGGTAAGCTCTCCCGCGGCGACCTCAACGAGGACAAGGGTGGTGACGGGGACGGGTTAGGGGGGAGCGTCGAGCCGCAAGAGGGAAGTGGAGATGGACCGGACCGAACGGAGGGTAAGGAGAGCAGCAGAGGAGGTAAAGGCGGTCAAGGTGGTGCACAGGGTGCAGGGGGGGGGCGTGGAGGAACGGACGGTAAGGGTGGGAACGAGACTGCGGGGGGGGGCAAGCCGCAGGCGGCTAAGGCGGCCAAGGACGGCCTTTCGTCGGGCGGTCTCGCAGAGAATAGTGAGGACGCGAAGCTGCAGACCCGGCTCCTACGCAGGAAAGCTCACGGGTTAAAAAAACTCGCTGCGACTCGGGAGGCACGGGTGAGTGGAACATCTTCACAGGGGAAACCCCCCACCGGTGTCATCATCAAGCGGAGTGGAATACGTAGCATTGAGAGCGGATTGAAATTACCTGAAGACGCGAAAATTGTATTGAGTGTCCACAGCAGATCTCTGGCACCTACTTGCGTATGTGTGGGATGGCTCCTTCGTGCGTGTTTTGACTGGGACTCTTCGAAAGCAACTTGCAGATCACGTGTGGATGTTTTGGGACGTGTCAAAGCCGAGAACATCGTGGATCGTGCATTACTTCTTATCGCGTGCCGCCTCCATCCCCCGGTACGACCTACTGCGTTGGTTGTTCATTGTGTCTGCCTGCAGGGGGACTTTGGAATAGGTGTGGGTACTCGCCTTTACACGGGATCATGGGCCGTTCGCCCCGATTGGGGGACAGTCATGAGGGAGAACCCCGACGAAGAAGGGAATGTAGTGTCGTATGACGTCCTCATGGACGCAGACCCTCGCGAGTCAACCATGAGCGTCGACAATGTGAAGATGGACGTAGAACATGCGAGGAAGGAAGTGAAAAGCAGTGCGCGGGAAGGCAGGGGGGCGGGCGGGCGGGACGGGGACAATAAGAACGAGACATCGGGTTCCGAGGTGGGGTCAGGATCCGACGAGGGTGGGAAGGGCAGCCAATCAGGCGGGCGGAGACGGTCAGGGCCTGAGAAGGCGGAAGCGAAGGGGAGCGGGTTAGAGGGCGCGCGTAAATCCGGCGACAGGGATTCGGGCGAGTTGTCGTACGAAGGAGGCCGGGACAAGAAGGTGAGCCTCGCTTGTTGCGGCCACACTCGTTGCCGTCGGCATGGTGGCTACCCACGATCATGCCACACTTTTGTCATTCGCGTGTTGATTCGACGTCGGCGGGGTTGGAGATTGGCGGTAACGACGAAATGGTCTACTTTTTTCAGCCTTTCCGTTTTTTTTCGTGCGTCTTCTTGTCCGCTTTTTGTTATTTTAGTCTCGGGGCTGCCGGGGTCACAATGTTTTCAGAACGGTCTCCCTACGTTTGCTCTTTGGTGCGGTTGGTACCACTTGCCTCGGATATTTTGTGGATATTTTCTTTTCGCGTTTCTTTTTTTCCTTTTGCGTGTTTTTGTGCGTTTTTTATTGCCAGCAGAGCAAAGAAGCGACGGATGATCCGGATGAAGACGGAGGTTCGGACGGCTTCTCCTCCCATGACGACGAAGACGAGCAAAGCGACACCAACAAGGTGAGGTCTGATTACGTTGGACACCAATTTCTCGTTGAGGGTGTGCTGAGGCGACGGCAGTTCCGTTAACCAACAAGGAAGCAACAAGGACTTCAGGCTCTAGCTTGGACAATCGCACGCCCTCCTTCTTACGCGGTTTATGCAGGGCCGGAAACCCGGCAGCGGAAAGAGGACGGGGCAGGACGCGCACGATGACACGGACGAAGATACGGACGAGGAAACGGGCCGGTGGGGTGGCGGGGATTGCGGCGGCATAGCGAGAGTCGGTCGCTCGTTCGACCTCAAGGAGACGCCGTGGGAAACGTGGGAATACGCTTTCTCCACGCTTATCGGGGAATTGAACGAAGCAGGCCATCTAACTGTGCAGAAGAGGAGACGCAAGCAGGTGAGTCCTGTACNGGGGATTGCGGCGGCATAGCGAGAGTCGGTCGCTCGTTCGACCTCAAGGATATNGTGTGCTGAGGCGACGGCAGTTCCGTTAACCAACAAGGAAGCAACAAGGACTTCAGGCTCTAGCTTGGACAATCGCACGCCCTCCTTCTTACGCGGTTTATGCAGGGCCGGAAACCCGGCAGCGGAAAGAGGACGGGGCAGGACGCGCACGATGACACGGACGAAGATACGGACGAGGAAACGGGCCGGTGGGGTGGCGGGGATTGCGGCGGCATAGCGAGAGTCGGTCGCTCGTTCGACCTCAAGGAGACGCCGTGGGAAACGTGGGAATACGCTTTCTCCACGCTTATCGGGGAATTGAACGAAGCAGGCCATCTAACCGTGCAGAAGAGGAGACGCAAGCAGGTGAGTCCTGTAGATGAAGTTTTCCGACTGCGCGTCCGGTCCTCGCCTAGTCACTAGAGGCTCTCAGGTGGACGTCTTCTGACGTCTTTGGTCTGTGACGGCCGTAATTCCACTTGAAGCGGACGCGGTCCGTCGCTCGTTATTCGCCGCCCTGCTGTTGTATCTGCAGACGACCGACAAGAGCAGACACAACCTATGCGAGATTGTCTGCAGACACTCCGGGGAGGCGCGGGTGCGCCCAGCAACTCGTGAGGGGCGGAAGAGGAGGAACTGCAAACGAAGGAGGTGCGGAGCGGAACATTTATTTGCCGATTTTGTATGATACGATTTTTGTACTAGGCTATTCATGTACGAAACGGGCAGTGCTGTTGTGAGTGCAAGTAAACGCGAGAGCCCCCGCGGAACGCTCTTCTTTACACGTCGAACTCTTCATCACATCTCTCATGGCGTATATTGTGCCTTATCTTTTGTGGGTATGTCTCGCCGGTCTCGCGCAGATTGGGTGCCCTTTCAAGATCACCATGACGTGGCGAGTCGGGGCTACCAACCCCACCATAACCTCGGTGAGGGTTAAAAATTAGAGTCTATAGGCATGTATGTCTACGCGATACATGGATCGAAATTTCTGTCGTTTGCGCTGCAATGGCGCTGCAATGGCGGATCTGCGGACGTGATGCGTGTTGTTCCCGGTGCATTACGACCGTATTCGGACCATATTGCGTCGGCCCCCGTTCAATGTATGTTTGCTGCAATGGCGGATCTGCGGACGTGATGCGTGTTGTTCCCGGTGCATTACGACCGTATTCGGACCATATTGCGTCGGCCCCCGTTCAATGTATGTTTGTCGTGCCCGGCGACGTTACTTTCAGTGGGCTCGGGTACGCCCACCGAATGCCCTTCCTGCGAGCAAGTATTGTACGTCTTGTTTAGATGTTGAACCAACCAATACACGTCGCGTCCGTACGGTATGTTGACCCTGGTTTGGATGGTCTTTCGGTCATTGGCGCTCTCGTTTCAAGTTCCGTTTTGTTCGTTTGTTTCCGTTTTGTCTTGCGTTTTCCTGGTCGGGTGTTCCCGCGCTAGTCCTACTGCGGGCACAACCACGATCCCCGGGGGGCCGTTTCAAGAGCTCAGGCTCACGTCCTCCCGCTCGAAGTTGTCGACGAGAGGTATGCTGACATCCGTAAATGGACAGCGGCTGGCGTCGCTCCGACGGACATCTTCAAACTGCTCGAAATGGATCACGACGGCAAGATCTTGGACAAAGTTGGGAAAAGAAAGGTGAGTAACTCAGCACGAGTTTTCTTCGCGGGCGCTGTTTGTGGTGGTTGGTCTAGCATTTATCCGGTAATTATTGGAAAAGGAGAGGAGGGCGACTTTGTCGAAAGTCGAAGCTGCGCTGGCCAATGATGGCAACCCACGTCCTGATGGCGGGGAGGACCCTTTTCCAAAGTGTGTCGTCTCCCTCCAATTTCCGACTCCTTTCAAGGTGTACAACGCCATCCACAAGGTTCAAGACGAGTTGTACTCCACGCCCGAGGACGGCGCCGATTTCCTGGCGAAGTTGGGAGCAGAACCGGGGATGTTCGTCAAGCGCACTTTCGACGATTTGGGGAGGATCGTGAATGTGTTCTGGGCCACCGTGGACCAACAGGAGAAGATGTCGAGGTTCGGCGGCTGTGTCCAGATGGATACAACCGTGTTTACGAATAGGTACGTCTGGGATAATGTCACCGTTCCAGAACGCTCCGTCCCGTCCTAGCCAGCTTCTTTGCTTCGGTATCCCCTTCCCCCCTCCTCCATTTTCATTTTTTACTGACCATTGTTGTAGTATTTCGGGTCTTCAACTTTAGGTGTGCAGTGCGGCAGGTGCCTAACACTGTGAGCGGGAACTTGGGGTCTTCTATTTGTCTTCTTCGTCTGAATGATCTCTTAATATCCTCCCTCAGATGCTGTCCCAGCACCGGAGTGGGTTCAATCAAGCCTCTGCGGGGAATCCGCAGATGGGATAGATACGTGCCTAGGGATACTCAACTGCCGTTTCATGCCCTACAAACCGGCTACCTCCAATACCATTACACTATGCGTCGTCCTGCGTGTTGGTGAGCGGTCTCCGCAGGTACGGGTGCCCCCTGCTCTTCATGGTGGGCGTGGATGACGAAAACCGGAGCTGTGTCTTGGGCCAGGGCGTGCTGCGGTCGGAATGCAAGGAGACGTTTCAATGGTTCTTGGAAGCGTACGAGACGGCCGCCGGCAGACGAAGGCCCAAGGTGCGCTGCGCACCGCCTGCAAACGCGTTTTTGTTCGTGAGGGGGGCATCGTATCATTGCCCGGTTCTCCCCTCGCTTCATAGCTGCCCGCGCGTCAAGTCCCTGACACCTTCCACTCGCCGCTCACCGCTACTTGATGCCTCCTCAATGATTAGACATCTTCATACAACTTTCCGGTCGCCTTACTCATACACCTATGCCGATGTTGGTTTCGGTACGTGTATGTCTTCGTCTGTTTGGCGTAGGTCATGCTGACTGACGTAGACCGGGCCATGACTTCGGGTTTGGAGGAATGGACCACCACCTTGCACCTTTTCTGTTTGTGGCACGTTTTCAAGAACGTGCTCAAGAACTGCTCCTCGTCCTTCCCCGACAAAGAAGAACGGGCGAAAATGCTTCGTCTTTTTCGCAGTGCTGCGTACGCAGCCACGCCGGAGGTGAGACGGGGAAGTTGCTAGCGGCTACAATCAACAATGGGTGTGTGTTGCGTTGCGTCTCAAAACACCTAGATCGCCGGCCCGCCCCGACCACCGACTACGAGCTCGTCATATAACCTCCGGCACGACGATGCCATGCCGCAGGCCTTTGCAAGGTACCGGGTGGACCTCGAGAAGATCGTGAAGGGCAAGAAGTGCGAGGAGTACATGGACGCCCTTATCCAGTGAGTAGCCATGAAACGGGAACAAAATATTACAGCGAGAGTCATGTTGCGTACTAGGCGTGTAACTTGCTGTCCCTGCTCTGAGCGTTGTAACATATGCAGCCGCAGCCGTTAAGCACGCCAAGCCATTCTTGAAACATCCATCCCGCGCTCTTGTTGGCAAGGGACAAAACGAAGTGGGCTTCCTCCTGCTGGCCGACACTGCTCACCATGGGTATGGTTGCCACCCAGCGCACCGAGGGTATGTTCGGGGTGGCGAAGAGATCCGGAGTTCACAAGAAGCTGTCCCTGTGCGGTCTGTGGGAGAAGCTCCAACTTCTGTACCAGAAGATGGACGTCGAGTACAGCAGGTGAGTTCCACTAAGTTACAGCCTTGGAGCGGCGCCATCGCGTTTGGTACCTGAACATAGACGGTGAACTAGCCGCGCGTATTCTGCCCCGGATGTTGTGCCATCAACGAAAACTCTGCGACTATTCTGAACCTCAGTCATCTCAGAGGCATTGGGTAAAGTCTCAAAAATGGGCTTGTGTCCACCCTATCCACTGACGACAACGTTGGCCGCCACCCATGAGCATCGTTTCTGTTGTTTTCAGTCATCTCAGAGGCATTGGGTAAAGTCTCAAAAATGGGCTTGTGTCCACCCTATCCACTGACGACAACGTTGGCCGCCACCCATGAGCATCGTTTCTGTTGTTGCCCCGTAGCGTAATGTCAAACGGTTAAGTCCCTTATAAACACTCCGTCCGACCTCGTGCGCTCAGGGTCGCAACGAGAGGCGTGGGAGCGGAGTTGCCATTCCAGACGAAGCATCTGCAGGGGATCTTCGCCCCGATCCAGGAAGAGCTCAAACGGGTTGGCGCAAGCCAGTACTGCCAAGTGGTGAGAACCTCGATGGCTTCATTGCGTTCATGCACCGCCCCCCTGCCATCTCGGGGATAAATATCTAGGTGGTCTCATCTTCATGCGACGATGAGAGGCCCAGCGTCAAAATACTACCTTCTCCAAGCAGTAAAGGCCCAGCGTCAAAATGCTACCTTTTCCAATTTCCAAGCAGAAAAGGCCTAGCGTCAAAATATTGCCTTTTCGAGGCCGTTTTTCGAGGCAGTCCCTTGTGCGCGTACCTCACGCGATCTTTAAGACTAAATATGACTAAATACCGGACTAAATATGTGCCCCCCTCAACACCTCATCCTGATCCGCTCCATTCCGCAGGAGGCTAGGGCCGAGGTTGGCGGATCGCAGTCATACGACGTCGAGGTCATCTGCGCAGGCGCCACGGATGACGACGGCCGCCCCGATCCTCTGGGAGAGGGTGTCCTTCGTCGAAAGCTTGAGGCCGTTCGCTTCGACCTTAGCCTTTTCGAGGAAGCGCCGCCTGACACTGACCTGGAGAAGGACTGCATGCGTGGCCCTGAGGCGGAATCGACTGAAGACAGCAGCGTATGGGCGCGCACGTCGTTGGAGGCCCTCCTCGACCTCATCGGCGAACTCCCCGTCCACGTTGCGGCGGCTGTGCGATACAAACTCACGCCTGCAAGGCCGGGTCATGTTGTGGTTTTTGGACCCAATGGCTGCCACTTGTGCTCTTGCCTCAAGCTGTTGCGACACGGCCTCGTCTGCAGATTGACGACAACGTTGGCCGCCACCCATGAGCATCGTTTCTGTTGTTGCCCCATAGCGTAATGTCAAACGGTTATAACCCCCTTATAAACACTCCGTCCGACCTCGTGCGCTCCGGGTCGCAACGAGAGGCGTGGGAGCGGAGTTGCCATTCCAGACGAAGCATCTGCAGGGGATCTTCGCCCCGATCCAGGAAGAGCTCAAACGGGTTGGCGCAAGCCAGTACTGCCAAGTGGTGAGAACCTCGATGGCTTCATTGCGTTCATGCACCGCCCCCCTGCCATCTCGGGGATAAATATCTAGGTGGTCTCATCTTCATGCGACGATGAGAGGCCCAGCGTCAAAATACTACCTTCTCCAAGCAGTAAAGGCCCAGCGTCAAAATGCTACCTTTTCCAATTTCCAAGCAGAAAAGGCCCAGCGTCAAAATATTGCCTTTTCGAGGCCGTTTTTCGAGGCAGTTCCTTGTGCGCGTACCTCACGCGATCTTTAAGACTAAATATGACTAAATACCGGACTAAATATGTGCCCCCCTCAACACCTCATCCTGATCCGCTCCATTCCGCAGGAGGCTAGGGCCGAGGTTGGCGGATCGCAGTCATACGACGTCGAGGTCATCTGCGCAGGCGCCACGGATGACGACGGCCGCCCCGATCCTCTGGGAGAGGGTGTCCTTCGTCGAAAGCTTGAGGCCGTTCGCTTCGATGNCTGCCATCTCGGGGATAAATATCTAGGTGGTCTCATCTTCATGCGACGATAAGATGCCCAGCGTCAAAATACTACCTTCTCCAAGCAGTAAAGGCCCAGCGTCAAAATGCTACCTTTTCCAATTTCCAAGCAGAAAAGGCCCAGCGTCAAAATATTGCCTTTTCGAGGCCGTTTTTCGAGGCAGTTCCTTGTGCGCGTACCTCACGCGATCTTTAAGACTAAATATGACTAAATACCGGACTAAATATGTGCCCCCCTCAACACCTCATCCTGATCCGCTCCATTCCGCAGGAGGCTAGGGCCGAGGTTGGCGGATCGCAGTCATACGACGTCGAGGTCATCTGCGCAGGCGCCACGGATGACGACGGCCGCCCCGATCCTCTGGGAGAGGGTGTCCTTCGTCGAAAGCTTGAGGCCGTTCGCTTCGACCTTAGCCTTTTCGAGGAAGCGCCGCCTGACACTGACCTGGAGAAGGACTGCATGCGTGGCCCTGAGGCGGAATCGACTGAAGACAGCAGCGTATGGGCGCGCACGTCGTTGGAGGCCCTCCTCGACCTCATCGGCGAACTCCCCGTCCACGTTGCGGCGGCTGTGCGATACAAACTCACGCCTGCAAGGCCGGGTCATGTTGTGGTTTTCGGACCCAATGGCTTCCACTTGTGCTCTTGCCTCAAGCTGTTGCGACACGGCCTCGTCTGCAGACACTACTTCACCGTGCTAGTTCGTTTCCTCGGCTGCAGCTTCAAGGGAATCCTGCTCGACCACCGCTTCGACGGCAACAGTCTCCACGCACGCTGGCGGCAATCGCTTGACGGCAACGACGAGCCATGGACCGTCTCCAGAGTGTTGAAAGAGACAGGGCACGGCGACGGCTGGGACGGGTGTGAAGAGGGCGCAGACGACAACTTCTGGGGGCCAACGTTCGACGACGACGACGCGGGGGACGGCGTGCATCCTTCGGAACGTGCGGCAAAAGCAGCTGCCGCTCAATCAGCGACTGATGAGCGCCGGGTGTTCGCGAGCATGATGGCCTAGAGCAAGGAAAACGTCTCCGAAATCCTAAGGACGGTTCCACCCGCGAAGGCCATGGAGATCCAGGCTGACCTCGACAAGTGGGTGAGGTTCCAGCTCGCGGAGGCTACCGGACAGAACAGCGCCAAGAATCCCGCGCAGGTCAAGAAGGCTGGAAGGCCTAAGAAATCAAAGTCGGGAGAACAACAGGAGAAGCGCGGTGATGGCAATGGTGCGCCGCCAGGGCAGACCGGCTCTGCTAAGCCGGTCGGTAACCCGCAAGGGCGGATGGACAAGAGCCGCAGGGCCAAAAGGATGAGAGACTCAGCTGGGCCTGGGTCTGGGGGTCCTAGCCGTAGGATTAAGAAGGAGGACGACTCGTAGTGCTTAACACGTAGCGCCGTAAACTTGAGCGGCCCCGAGTGAATGAAGGTCCAGCTTGAGCGAGTCTCGATGTCGTTGTATTCAATGATACCTCCTGTGTTGCGAGGTATGGAACGGTGATTTTCTTCCTCCGTTGATTGCCGGCGCCTCCGTGTTTGCGGGTACACAGACGACGATAGGCGACCTACTTATGCGGCTTATGCGCAGGTTGTCCTTCAACAACGCCAGCCTACCTCTCCCTTCAGTCCTCGTGTCACGGGGGTAGCGCTACGTAGCATCAGGCTTCGTGTCGTCTGGGTGTCAAACAATCGTCTGGGTGTGAAACAAAGCGCGGAAACAAAATCTAAGATACTGCCCACAATTCACGTATGCGAAAATAACGTTGTCCCCTCCCCCTAGCCCTGCGAGCAATTCCATCCGCGCCGTGTGTGCCGAGAAACGGGCGGTGTCGTATATAAGCTTATCTACGACACCGCCCTCGGGGACACCGTCCCGCCGGGTGTAGGCGTACCATGGCACTGACTGGGTGGATTTCGCCCCACAGCGGCTTGAACGATAGCTATGGGCTGTACCAATGTAGTGCACGTGGTCTGATGTCCATCGGCGCCGTTTGTGGCGAGAAACGGGCGGTGTCGTATATAAGTTTATCTACGACACCGCCCTTGGGGACACCGTCCAGCCGGGTGTAGGCGTACCATGGCACTGACTGGGTGGATTTCGCCCCACAGCGGCTTGAACGATAGCTCTGGCCTGTACCTACTCATCGCGAGTTTACGTGCGATCAGGCGATGTCTGTGCAAGGAGTTATGACCGGAACGTCGCTGACACCCCCCCGGTAAGTTGCGGAGCCCCCTATTTTCGGCTCTTTCTCCGCAACCACTTGGCCGATTTGACCCAAAAAGGTATGGGCTGATAGCTGCGGGCCGTGGCTACACAGCGCATTTTGTTGTACGCCGATTGGAGCTCTGGGGGCGGAGTTACAGTCGTATTTGTGGTAGAACCTAACCCTGCGATGCTGCTGAGCCCCCTTTTTCTAAGATATCTCTTCAACCACTTGGCCGATTTGACCCAAAATGGTATGGGCTGATAGCTGCGGGCCGTGGCTACACAGCGCATTTTGTTGTACGCCGATTGGAGCCCTGTGGGCCAAGAAATGGTAGGTGTCGTATATAAGGAAGTACGACACCGGTGTCGTATATAACACTACCGTTTTCAAAGGGATTTTTCCTTGGTCCGAACCCCATTCTACATGGCCCACCGGAAAAAAAAATAATAGCGAAACACTCTGCTGCGCGGTGTGGTCAGGTTTTCTCAGTCTGCCCACGCAGTTGTAGATGAGGCTGTGGCCGCAAACGAATGGCATCGCTGTCACGTGAAGAAATAGTATTTACCATACCATGGTATATATATATATATGTACTTTACACGTGAATGGCCGAGATCAGCTGTGTTTCGTTTTGAAATGCCCAACCACGAAGAACCTTTTTTTCATGTGCCCAAGCACAATACACGCCACGCGCGTACAACGTATTAACGCGTACATGGCAGTCTAGGAAGATATGTAGATCCCATCCTTTGCCGTCACTTAGTGTGCGAATCAAAACCTCTTCTCCGCTACAGCAGTCGCACAAGGAGACACTCGTCTGGCTGCTGATGAGTCTCGCCATCTGATTCCCTTCCGTTCTTAGACTCGATGTATGAAACTTGCAGAGACGAACCACTGCTGTGCACATGAAACAACACAGCAACCGCCTCTTGCGTACTGACAAGGTATATTCCCCCTTATCCGGTGGATCGCTGCCCTGCCGCAGCGCGGCTCTGCGTCGCTCTGCAACTTGATCTTCGTTGCGACCCTGCAGCGGGACCCCTTTACATTCACTCTCAGTACAATCAAACATCGTCATCCTACGACTGCACGTTTTCCGCCACCACTTGATTTTTTGTACACTTTGATATTTCGCCGTTCTTTGCACCATGGCCGGTGTTGGCGTCAACGCAAAGCATCGACAACGTCGTCTTGCAAAATGTCCGAAATATATACAAGTATCGAGCTGCAAGCATGCAGCACATCACCCGGACCACATCTGTTCCTGCACCAGATCGCTTCGTTCACAAAACGACTAGACTTCAATCGCGGTCTCCCCGCCCGCCCGGGGACGCAATCGTTCCGCCTATTTAGTACCGTATTAGTCGGAGAGTTTACACCGGTCGGAGAGATGGCACCGGGGTGCGATAAAAAACCCGAGAAAAAAACAACTGATTCGATTTACGCCCGGGGTCGGTGAGATCGCACCGGGTGCGATCTCTGCGGCCCCCAAATCCAAGATTGAGCTCCTTTTCAGCTGCCGGAACGAGGTACATGTGCGTACCTCTTACACGTGGGGACGGTGTCAGCGGAGCGTCACTCCTTTCCGTACACTTGGATGGTCGCGGTTCACGCGGGATGCCTGTATTCATTTTTAATTGGCATGGAAGTTGCCAACCGTACGCTCAACCAAGCACACAGCGCACAAGCCGCACTCCCACCTTACACAACCCGCAACTAATGTACTGCTGCGAACGTACTGGTAGAAGGCCCAAACGAAAGCGGGAAACAATTGATAACGTGTGTGCTGGTTCCGCCTCACATGGAAACGACATCGTTTGTTGTTGTGACGCCATAGCTAAACTCGCATCAAACCCAAGACCACTCGCTGTACGGAAAGCTGTTACGTACCAGCCTACGTCGCCGTTACCGTTGTGCTTCCAACCAACAACAACGGTACCTAAACGTGTGATTCTATACTGATCAATAGCATTTCATCGGGGATCGCACCGGTCGAAGAGATCGCACCGCGGTGCAACACCTGTGTGCATTTATTTCATCGGTTGATCGGGGCCTTGAAATCGGGCAAATCTTGGGCCCAAAGATCATCTTTTAGGTACTTAAGTACTTGGCGATTGGGACGCCTTGTTCATGGCCTTTTCATACGCTACTGCCCTTCACGTGGGAAACAACAAGTTGCGCTGGACTACCGCAGTACTGGCTCGACGGTGGCTCTTTTCCCATACATTAATCCTATACAAAGAAAGAAAGCAACCTTCCCGCCAGGGTTAGGTTAGGCAGTCTATTTGTCCGCAGTAGCGGACACCATGAAGAGTCGTCGGGCGGGCTGGCACGTTCAGGTATGCTACTGGAGCGGAAATATCGACGGTCGCAGCAGCCGCTGAAAAAAGTCCGAACTTGCGCCGGCACCAAGCGGCATCTAACATTTGTCACAACCATCCATGCTCACCTCCACGGACCGTAAACCCCTGAACGGAGATTGCCAGCAGTAGCTGGTGGCATCAGCTGCTGCTGTAAACCCATAGTTCAAGAAATTGGGGTGGGTGGCGGCGAGCATGGCTGTGACAAATTTTGGATACCGCTTGGTTCCGGTGCAGACTTCGGACTGTTCTCAAAGGCTGCTGCGACCTTCAATATTTCCAGGGTACACGGCGGGAATTTTCCCGCCGTCGTTTAGGCGGGAATTTAGGCGGATCCGGTACTGGCGGGACGTACCGCCATAATTCGCGGGTACCGGATCCGCCGAAGGCGTTCCCGCCGAAAAAACGAAAACCGCTT